ACCTGGTTCACCTTTTCTGGATTAGTCCCACTGTAGCATACACATTTGGATACATTGTAATCCTGGAACCTACAAGATGCAAAGCAAATGTTTACTAGATGAACATCAAAAATATCAGGGGTGGTGGTACAGAGAGCATGCAAGCATAGTCTGGGGACATAGCTCAGTTGGTAGAGTGCTTGCTTAGCATGCACAAGATACTAGGGTCTATCCCCAGCACTGCCTGAACCAGGCATGATGGGGCATGGATATAATCCCAGAAAATTCAAATGTTCAAGGGCATCTCTGGTTACTTGGTAAGTTCTAGAAAATAAAATGAATATAAACAAATAAATAAATAACAATAAATGAAATAAGTGTTTTAAACAATTTTATAGTTTTTTTTTTTTGCTTGTTTTGAAATATATGGAGTGAAAAGGAGTGTAAAGTTAGCATCCCAATCCAGGTCCAGGCAAAGAATTATATTGTCTTTTATTTATTTATTTTTGACACAACATCTTGCTCTGTAGCCCAGGCTGGTTTGGAACTCACTGTGTAGTCAAGGCTTGCTTACAGTAATCCCCCTGTCTCCATCTTCTAAGTATCGAGAACATGGTATATACCAATACACACCATGAGTTGTATTATCTTAGGTACCTTTTCCCCGTGGTCTCAATGTCCTCATTAGACAACATAAGAGTTTGCACTTGGATAGAAGTAATTTCCAATAAAAATGTAATATAATTATAGATTTTCAAGTTGTTAACGTATTATTACAGTGTGCTACAGTTCATTGGTTTTTTGGTATCTCTCTCTCTCTCTCTCTCTCTCTCTCTGTGTGTGTGTGTGTGTGTGTGTATTCTGGGGCTTGAATCTAGGAATCCATATATCCTAGACAGGCATTTCTACCAGCCTAGATGTTCCTAATTAAAAAGTATTTTCATCCTCAAAAATAATTATAGTAGAAATAATCAACATTTTCTTAGGCTCAAGTACATTGATTTAATTTGGATTTACTATGAGTCCTTATAATTTTCAGAACAGCTAGGCAGCAGTCCTTTAATCCCAGCAATTGGGAGGCAGAGGCTGGTGCATCTCTATGAATTTAAGGCCAGCGTGGTCTACAAAGTGAGTTCTAGGGCAGCCATTGCTGTTACACAGAGAAAGCCTGTCTCAAAAAACAAACAAATAGATAATAATAATTCTCAGTATAATACATTTTATAAATATAAATATAAATTTAATTTTCAGTGCTAGGTACCTGAAAGAAAAAGAGAGGAAAATAAAACAAAACACCAGAGAATTCCTTTCTCTGAAGCTTAGAGGCAGTGAGCAACAGAAACAGGGCTAGTTTGAACGAAGATGAAAGTACTGTTCTTTGGATGTCGAATGTCTGGTAGGCAAAACAGAATATTACATCTCAATAATGACTTTATACTGTCTATACTCTGAATGAATATTCATATACTAAATATACATTGAATTAGATAAATTTTCAAAGCATTTTTACTTTTTTAATTCTTGTGGTAGTTTGAATAGGAATGGCTTCCATAGGCTTAGTCACCAGGGAGTGGTACTCTCTGAAATGATTAAAAGGATTAGGAGGTATGGCCTTGTTGGAGGAAGTATGTCAGTTAGGGTAGGCTTTGGGGTTTCAAAAGCCCATGCCAACCCCAGAGTCTCTCTCTCTCTGCTTATGGATCAGATCAAGATGTAGCTTTTAGCAGCTACTGCATGTCATCTTAGTTCTTACCTGCCTGCATGCCATCATGCTCCCTGCCATGATGATAATGGACTAAGCCTCTGAAATTATAAGCCAGCCCCCAATTAAATTAAGAGCTACCTTGGTCATGGTGACTCTTTGTAGCAATAGAAGATTGACAAAGATACTTCTTAATATATGGCTGCAAAAAACTCTTGAAAACATATGTAGCTCAAACTGTATTTCTATTGGGTGGTATTGCTAAAGGAGTAGAGAACAATACTGAGAATGAAATGACTACACATAGTGAGAGAATAGAGAAGATTGTCTCACTGAGTCTTAAATCTTCACTTTGTTCTCATAGGAAGATGGCTTCATGAAGAAGTTTGAACCTAAATCTGGCTGGCTGACCTTTCTGGAAATGACAGGGCAGATCTGGGAAATGCTCTTTTTCTCCTCAAGTAACACTACTGACCAGAGAGACAATGGAACCTGTGACAATGGTGACCAGCACTTAGTACGTCCATTTGCAAACAACTCAGATGACAGGACTTGACTTTCCAGAGTTGCGGATGTTTTGTTCCCACTTTAATGAATAAATTACTGATATTTGTTCCTGGATGTGTTTCATGTTTTAAGTTTTCGAGTCTGCCTGGAACTCCAACAATACTCTACACAGGGACAGGTACTGAAGTAAGGACTGATGATGACCTGGAGGGTATTGTGTCCCTCTGCCATGAGGTAGAGACTCTCCCATAAGGCTGTGTCTGTTAGCCATCATCATTCTGTGTCACTAGGCTAAACTACATGGGGGCTAAAATCTGCCTCCTAACTCTTTCCTGAGTCCACACTTTCTATATCCCTAGAGGCTTACAGTTTCTCGTTGATGCTCGCTTCTCAACTCTCCTGGCCTTTCATTTGGGCTTCATGGAGAGAACAGACAGATATGCAGTGTTGGGGTCAGAAAAGATATCCTAAAAGGAAGGACTCAAATCATTTTTCTCTCTGACCTCTTGCATTCTTTTCTCTCAAACCCCCCCCCCCATTTTCCTCCAAGGCAAGATACAAAAAGTAGAATTCACTTTCCCCGAGTCAAGTCATAATCAATAGTCAGACTATATATATGATCAGTCTGCAATTCTAGTAGTCAGGAAGGGATCACTTCTCTTTCTGCTCCTACATCAGGAAACTGGAATGGTTTGAATAAAAACAGTTAAGTGAATGAATATCAAGTCATTTTTAAACTTGATTTGTGTGTGTGTGTGTGAGAAAACTGTCTTTTGTTAGACCATGTTCCAATTTTTAGATCAAGTTTGATGGCAATACAGAAATCCTCTATTTAGGTCTAGATCACTTGCATTACATTTCCCTTGAGACCATTAATAGATTCAATAAAGACAGAACCCTTTTTTCCAAGGCCAGGTACATCTTTATAAGGGATCTCAGTTATCAACATTACCTCTGTGATGTGATTCCTAACTGAGAGAATGAAGATATGGGACCAAGTCAGTAATGACCTTAAAATCTGATCCTTCTGTTTCCACATCCTGAGGGCTAGGATTACAGCTACGTTATCACCACCACGCTCTGTGCATGCAAGGCAAGCACTCTAGCAATGGTGCTTCATCCTAAACAGCATGGACTTTTATTTTTTACCACTTTTAAACTGGAGAAGGGAAAAGGAATAAGCAAAAAGACGAGGTAGGAAGTTACTTAAAATCCTATTGAGGTGAATCAGAACAAGATACCAGCTTTGACCTTTACTGCCCACACTGATCTACTTATTAGAAATGTTCCAAAGCACCCCAAAACAGTACCATCAGATGGGGACTAAGTGTTCAGACACATGAGACTGTGGGTGGGGGAATTTCACATTCAAACCATGAACTGTGTTTAAGACACAGTCTCCCTTGTGTAGCTGATACCAAAATCCTCCTGCCTCAGTCTTCTGAATACTGAGATTAGAGATGTGTGAAACCAATTCAAGTTATCCTATGTGAGGTTTTTTGTTTGTTTGTTTGTTTGTTTGTTTGGTTTTGTTTTGTTTTGAGTCTTCCTATGTACCTATGTAGCTCAGAATTGCCTAGAACCTTCAAGGTTCAGATATTAGCCTTTAAGACCTTTAACAACCTGTTTTCTATTGATCTCTTTTTTTGTTTCAGCTACTCTACAGTGTCAAGTACAATATCTTTCTTTAGTATCTGACACCTTTATGTTATTGAGTCTTCCTATGATTTTAATTTTTGCTGAAAATAATAGCTCCAGATGGTTGAAAACATTGGGGAAATGGAGATATCAGCGATTCTGTCATGAAGTCTTACCTGTGAGAGGACATACAGAACCCTCTGAAGATTCATAACCCTAATGAGCTTTATACCTAAGGTTGCATGCATTTTTATATATATATATATATATATATATATATATATATATATATATATATATTCTTGATGAAAATGTATATATGGAACTAAAGTATTTTTGTCAAAGCCTGGGATTAAGTAAAAATGCTTTCTCCCATGCCAAACTGGACAAAGCTATCATTATTTTTGCAGCACTGACAATCAAGCCAAAAGCCTTGTATATGCAAAGCAGGCACTTTACCCCTCGGACAGACTATGTATTACAGAAGGGATGTGCCCATGATAGGAAGCCACATAGAATAGCCAGAGATATCCAGAAAAAGCCTGCCTCCAGAATTCAATAGCAGCAATTTATCAATAGTAACATGTACAATTTATTTTTGTGTGTGTGATGTTGGTGATAAAACCTAGGACCACATGCACGCTGTTTTAAACTTCTTCTGCAGATTAATACTTGCTGCATACATTGATTTATGGTAGTGATTCTCAAAAATTAATATAGATAGAAATCACCTGAGGACCATTTGGACTGCCTAGGTCTGGGAATGGGTCAGGATTCTCCATACTTGACATGCTTTTGGGGACACTGATCCATAGACCACACTCATGTTCAAGTATTGGTAAATGGATATTACGTGGCCACACTGACCTGAATTGTTAGGTCTATAAGCGTAAAGATGAGACCACAATGTAAGTGAATTCACTGCTTGTTTTGCAGTCCATGATGAGAATTCTATTCATATTTGTTCTCCCTCTTCTGCCTTGCTTTGTCTTCAAGCACTTAGATTTTACAGAAATGAACTATATACCTTTTTACATGGGTGCTGGAAATTTGAACCCGACTTCTCATCTTCCCAGCTCTGAAAAATTAACTCTTAAAAACCAGTCCTCAGCTACTGAATGGTAACATGGGGGTGTGGTATAAATCCAAGTCAGTGCTCCTCATATCTACTTACTTTAATCTCCTCTCCCCACTCAGTCAAACATCTGCTAGAGAAAGGCATTGTCAGTCTCTGAACAGCAGGTTACGACAGCAGCAAAACTCTTCTATAATAATGAACAGGGTGTCTGCGTCCTTGAGTTCCCCAGAGACTGGATATCCATCTCCAGAAAGGGACTGCCATTTGTTGTAACAGCGGCCCCAAAGTCTATCAGTAATGAGCCAACTGACTGAAAAAGGTACTCTGTGGTAAAGCAGGATGTTCTGTCCTTTGGCCAGGGGGAGCCAAGTGTCCACCGGCAATGATGTTCACGCATCTGGCTCGCTCTGCCCTTCTTCTGACGACTCTTCAGCCCTGCACTCCACAACGTTAAGGTAATTTAGAGGAGTACTGAGTCCGCAAGTATAGTTGACAGCCGTGGTTGGACCTTCTGCAGAAGCATGGCTACCTCCTTAGGCTGTGAAGAAGGGTAAATGCACGGGGCTTTGTGCACAGTGCCCGGCTATTCCAGCAGGAAAGGCTAAGGACGCCACAGCACGCTGCCCTTCGCTGCCACAAGATGGGGGCCGGCCCAGACGCCTGAGCGGCCGTTGCACCTCAGCTGTCTACAGAGGCCACGCCCCCTCACTCCCCTTCCCCACGGCAGGAGGTGGTGGGCGTGGCCTGGGCGGTGCTTGCCACGTGATGGCGGCGGCCGCTGTAAGCAGCGCCAAGCGGAGCCTGCGGGCGGAGCTGAAGCAGCGTTTGCGGGCCTTAAGCGCGGAGGAACGGCTGCGCCAGTCCCACCTCCTCACTCAGAAGGTACGAGAAGGCTGCGGGAGTTAAACGCCTGGAAGCTTGGGCTGGCTCGCGGGTCTGCGCAGGCGCACCTCTCCCCCTTGCGCGCGCCCTCTTAGGCGCATGCTCGTGGCTCCGGGCTGGCTTTGTAGGGCAGGGGGCGGAGCCTGTGGAGAGCCCGGGAGCTTCTGAGGGAGGTTGGACTCAGGCACGTTTGCAGTTATTTTGTTATAGTGAGGAAAGGCCTTGCTGTGAGCTTAAGTAGATGCAGAGAATGTCCAAACAGGCAGGCCCGCACTTCCCGGTTTACATTTAATTCATTCACATGTGTTTAATACCTAATAGTAAACCATTTTGCTGTGTATTGGGTTATAGAGATGAAAAAGGTGATTGTTGCCTCTTAAAGGATCAGAAGATCTAGCAGATGGAGGAGTCGAATGAAAAATTGTAGGACTGGGGATTAGGCTCAGTGATACAATTGTTTAAAAATGTGCTACATTTTATTTATCCCATACTTAGAACACTGAATTGGGGTCTGTTTTTCTAGTTTTAAATTGCGTCTTCCTTTATTTACTAGAATCTGAGTTTACCTGTGGGTGGATTAATTTTCACGTTGTGAGTTAACTGCATCCGCAGAGTCTGGTTTCTGCTTCTGAGTTAGGGTTGTGTCTGGAACTCGTTGCCTTCTTTCTTACGTATTTTTTCTTCTCAACTTTTTTAGATTATGTCCTTAATTTTTTTTTTTAAGAAAATAGCAATGTGATTGGCAACCTTTATTTATTTTTAGTTCATATGTATGAATGTTTTGCCTGTATGTGTGTCTGTGAGGTTTTTTGTGTGTGTGTGTGTGTGTGTGTGTGTGTGTGTGTGTGTGTGCATGTGCGAATGTGCCTGGTGCCTTTCGAGGTCAGCAGTGGGTGCCAGATCCCCTGAAAATATAGTTAAGGATGGTTTTAAGCCCCCATGTAGGTGCTATAATTTGTTTAGTTTGGGTTTTTGTTTTGTTTTGTGTTTTGTTTTGGTTTTGGTTTTTCAAGACAGGATTTCTCTGTATAGTCCTGGCTGTCCTGAACTCCCGTTATAGACCAGGCTGGTCTTGAACTCACAGAGATCTGCTGGCCTCTGCCTCCAGAGTGCTGGAATTAAAGACATGTGCCACCACTGCCCGGCATAGGTGCTATAATTTGAATCCAGGTTGTCTGCAAGAGCATTAAGTGCTCTTAAACTGCCGAACCATCTCTCTAGACCCAACAGCTCCCATTTGACTGCTCAATTGATTTCAAATTTTTTATTTTTTTTCTCATTGTGTTCAACATTTGTGACATCCAATCTAGAGTTTTTATTTATGTATTATATTTTGTGGCTTAGTTGCAGTTCTATTGCTGTGAAGAGATACCATAACCAAGGCAACTTATAAAAAGAAGCATTTAATTTGGGGCTTGCTTATAGTTTCAGAGGGTTAGACTGTAATCATGGTGGTGCGAAGCATGGAGGCAAGCAGGGAGGCATAGTGCTGGAGAAGTAGCTGAGAGCTTACATCTTATCCACAAAATGGAGGGAGGGAGAAAGGGAAAGAGGGAGAGAGAGACTGACTGGGTTTGTCATGGGCTGTGGGATTTTGAAACCTCAAAGCCCACTGTGGTGGTCTCTGTGATCATAGAGGCCAGAAGAGTGTCATCAGTGTGAAGCAAGAAAGAAGCCTGCCTCAACACGACTCAGTGGCGCGTGTTGGTTCAAACTTTTAGAGTCTGACAAAGGACACTTTATTTTAGGCATATTTAAGCACAGCACATTTTGAGAAAAAGTTTTCTGGTGCTTATTAATTCAATCCTGTCTATGCAACAAAGCTTAAGACACGGTTACATTGAAACTCTTTCCAAGGTACATGTGTCCTCTCCCATTAAGATGGATTGTATAGATTGACTACATGTGACATGTTAAAGATCTGGTGTGGTGTTGGTCATACAGATAGTGCAAAAGTCACCACCCTATTAACCTCTTCTGCTCCCATTTGTAAAGTACATGTGACAGCTCCCATAAAGATGGGCTCTACTGACTGAGGAGCAATGCTCCAGGTAAGCGTCTAGGGAGGATGACTGAGACAAACATAAGAGTATGGGAGAACCATGTGTGGTCTGGCCATAGAGATAGTTCAGAGGTCATCAGGCTATTAACCAAATCTATTCCCAGCCTTCTGGGCAGAAAAGAAATGATACATCTCTTCCTTTGAAGAGACAAACCTTAGTGTTTAACGTTCAGAGTTTCCCAGTGCTTATCTGTGAGCACAAGGACTTTGTGCTCTCTACAGCCCACCCAGAATGTCACACCTTCTACAAGAAGGTACACATCTCCTAACCCTTCTAAATAGTTCCGGCTGAGAGCAACACATTCAAATGGATGAGCCCATGGTATCCATTCTCATTCAAACCACCACGTCTTGATTACTAGTTTTTCTCTGGATCTTTCAGGAATTCTTATTAACTAGATAGTAAAAAGTCTAGATTGATCTTCTGTGTCTCAACATTTTTATTTTCTTTTTTTGCTAATTTGTCTCCCCATGCAGGATTTCCTCCTAGATTGTTTTCATTTTGTTAACCTTTTTTTTTTTGGTTTTTCGAAACAGGGTTTCTCTGTGTAGTTCTGTGCCTTTTCCTGGAACTCACTTGGTAGCCCAGGCTGGCCTTGAGCTCACAGAGATCCGCCTGGCTCTGCCTCCCAAGTGCTGGGATTAAAGGCATGCGCCACCACCGCCCGACCTAATCATGGTTTTAATTTCCCATAATCATTTCTTACTGATTCCTTTCCATAGCAGCCTATTGATGTTTTATAGATTCAGTTATTGTTTTCAGCTTGTCTAAGAAAACTAATTAGAATTAAAAAATAATCTCCATTCTTTGAATTATCTGTTTAGCACTGAATCATATTTTCTTTTCATTTTTCATTTTAAAAATCTTTCTATTTTGTATTTGTATTTTGGCTGTTCAAAATGGTTGAAAATCATTTATTGGCTATGTATATTTATGTCCTTTGTGGGTATTGGGCATTAACTGAGAACCTTGTACATGGTAGTGAAGCCTTCTACCACTGAATGAAACTCCTGGCCCTTCTTGTCTATACATACTTATGAATGAAAGTGTGTTAGCTACAAGATGCCTCCTGTTTTTGTAGACACTGGTCGGAATTGTAAGAGAAGAATGGATTCTGTCTACCTCCTGTGTCCATGTTTTAGTGCTGCTTTGTCTATAAATACTGTCTCGTTCTCTCTCTGTCTTTCAGGAATTAGTCAAATTTCTGCTTTATTGTCTTCATTGTTATGACAGGTTTCATTTTTTCCTCTCTTCTTAACAAATAGCATGTAAGTGGGCTTGAAGGCAGGAAGGAAAAATCCACATGCATAGTCTCACACTGAATTAGCTGTCTGCCTTACTGCTTATTCAGCTCCTGGGTTTCTATCCTCTGCTTTAAAGAGATTAAGAAAAGTACTTTCTCATATAGTAAGTGGTGTCAAAGCCTTGGGCCTCCTCCAAATCTGGGTTTCCCCTTTCCATTTGCTTCACTTATGCCAAGCCTTCTAACAGCTTTACAGCTTTTCAGAAACTGGGGGTTGACTCTTTTCCTCAGCCCTAGTCTGGTATGCTTTGCTGCACTTCTCTCTTCCCTTTGTATTACATGTAATTTGGCTTTCTTTACTGTATCTTTCTGCCAGTCATATTTGTAAGCTGTGTTTGTATTATCCTTCTCTTCTTAGCTTGGAGGACAGGGGAGAACAGAAAAGGAGTGGAGTTTAAAAAGGGAGTTAAGGGCCAACTTCTGAGTCTGGGTAAGTTCCTAGGGTTTTGAGCAAAACTTAGCTCCCTTTGCCTGATGAGTGATTCTACTAAATAAGGATTCTTACACTAGGAGCCCCTTGGCCCCATTTTAATGAACTTTCGGAACACCCAGTTGAACGGAATAGCCTTGGTAGAGACTTATAGGGCATGTTCTCTGTGGAAGCTTGTGGACTGGTTCCGAATCCTTCATTTAGGACACATAAGCAGTGACTGACTCACGACTTAACCTCCTACAGACTGAAGTGCTTAGTTGTGTATCACTCTAAATGTAGTAAAGAGGTCAGGAAGGTTAGGTCTTGGCTGGACTTAAAGGGGTAGAATTGGTGGGAGAAATGCCAAACAGTCCAAGGGCTAGAAAATTGGTGAGATCCAAATCTCAAAGAGAAAATAAATCAAAAATCCTCTATTAAGTCTCTGACATGTACTTGAAACTGGGATCACATCTGGAATTCTGAAGATAGACAGCTTTTCCACTTCATGTCTTCTCAGTGGGTTTCCGTACAGACAACAGGCCTACCAGAGAGGTAAAGGGATCATCAAATATGCAAATCTTGAGTATAGAAATAAAAGCCAGGTATCAGGACATAGCATTCACTCACTGTATCACTTTACTTGGAAAAGGCTATGACAAAAGGGAGAAATTGGTAGGAGGAGTTACTAGTTTATGAAATATATAATCTTAAAAATTATAATTGCCATCATTTCCCACTTAGGTGATTGCCCACAGTCAGTATCAAAATTCCAAAAGAATTTCCATCTTTTTGAGCATGCAAGATGAAATTGACACAGAAGAGATCATCAAGGACATTTTCAAACAAGGCAAAATCTGCTTCATCCCTCGGTACCGATTCCAGAGCAATCACATGGACATGGTGAAATTAGCATCACCTGAAGAGATCTCTTCACTTCCCAAAACATCCTGGAATATTCATCAGCCTGGTGAGGGAGATGTTCGGGAGGAGGCCTTATCCACGGGTAAGGCCTCATTTCTCACATCAAAACACTTACCTAGATGCATCCTATATCATCTGATCTTGGATGCTAAGCATGGTCAGGCTTGGCTAGTTTATGAGAATTGATGTCTTTGAATGTTTAGGTAATGTCATCAGAATTTTCCTTCTAAAAATCCTCTCTCTCTCTCTCTTTCTCTCTCTCTCTCTCTCTCTCTCTCTCTCTCTCTCTCTCTCTCTCTGTCTCTCTCTGTCTCTCTCTCTGTCTCTCTCTGTCTCTCTCTCTCTCTGTGTGTGTGTGTGTGTGTGTGTGTGTGTGTGTGTGTGTGTGTGTGTGTATGTGTGTAAGACAGGGTCTGGCTTCAAACTCTCAACTCCTGCCTCTTCAATGCTGAGCTCATGGGCACATACATTTCCTCTCTGGCTTCTACCAGATATTTTCATCTATTTTATGTCAGATCTATTGTATGTATAGGAAGATAAGACCCTGTACCTGAAAGGACTCACATTGTACCTGGGGAGACAGAAATTGTATACTAATAAAGTATCCCAACTTGTACTATACATCAAATATAAGTATCAAATAAAAAGATACTGAATATTGAAATCATTGAAACTCAGGGGTTGGTCTTGAAAATATGCATTCCCAACACTGGCTTATTCATTTTCATCCTTTGCTCTTTATCCATGCTGTGTTTGTGGCGTCAGTGACTTTTGCTCCCAGGACACTTGCAACCCAAGTTGCAGTGGCATGGAGAATGAAACTTTAGAGTCTCTCAGTTGTGGTCTGAGGCAGAGATCCCTGCTGTTGTTGGTAGAAATGTCTGAGCAGGCAGGCTTGCTGTTTGTTACCTCCCAACATCACGTTCTCAGTGTGCAGTTTTACTTGCATCAGCAGTTTAGACTCTGGCAAGTTCAGTGCTAAAGCATAAATCCAGCTTCTCAGTGTTTGAGATGAGCTGATTGGAGCTCAGATTGTCTTTGCTGCAGCCTTTGTGGTCTGCTCATCTCCCTGGTTTGTCTCTGTTATCTCAGTTTAGAAGGGAGTAAGCTTGTGTGCCCTCAGTTGCAATGATAAGTTCTCAAGCAAAAATTTCACATAAAGCATTCCTGTTTTAGGTTTACAACATAATAACCCAGCTGGCAAATGAAATAGAGAGGCTGTATCTTTACTGAATATAAAGTGAGAGCTGCCTAGACAATTCGATCAGCCGGGGGTTCTTCCACTGAGAATTTATAGTCTGATTCAACCTTAATCAACTTGGCTTAAGTACAAGTGGGATAATAGTGGTACAGAAACAGAAGACTACACAGAGCAGCCAGCCCTAAATATCTCTGAATTAGTGTCTTTAGGAGTCAATCTGTCTTTGTTGTGACTCTGTTTCTGTGATGGCTTCATATCCACTGTGGCCCATGGCAGCTTGGACTTGGACATCATCTTATCAGCTAGAATTCCCAGCAGAAAAGAGCGTGTCTTTTCTGGTTTTCTAACAGTTTCAATAAAATCTTGGTCCTAATTCTCATTGCCCCAAGTGGTCATCTCCAAATTAATCACTATGACTAGACCCGGAATTGGTTTGCTGGCTCAGGCCTGGGTTGTCATTGACCATTTTTATTTATTTATTTTTTTTTTGTGATCAGGGAATAGGACCTATAGCCACCTCTCCAGCCCTCCTCAACTACCAAGCTGAATTGTGGGGCTGAGGTGAGAGTGACATGTGTTCTAGAACAAAGAGAATGGATATGACATTGTCAGAAGTCAAACTCCCCTATACTATTAACAATTTATGAGGTCCTATAGAAAAGATTCTTGCCTATAACTTTTAGTGATGGTTTTTCTGTCTGATTTTTTTGCTTTGAGGTATCTTAAGAATTCATGTCTGTGTGAGAATACCCAAGACACAATTTAAATAGGTAGCTGCAATGATTTTATAGTGCTCCACTGTAACATTTTACAATAATTAAAGGGGCACTGTCAAGGGCAAGGTCTTTGAATATACCCCTCCAGGTTGAGCAGGTCAGTACGTTGGGGGAGGCTAGGATTAGTTCATTGAGAGTAATTCATGTTCAGTTGTCCCATTTTCTTTACTAGGACTATGTGGTACCTGTAAAATTATGGTGAAACTTTGGGCATGGGTTTAATAAAAGTCTTTGACCAAGTCTTTATATATATATATATATATATAAATTTTTTTTAATGAGAACTTTATTATAGAGAACTTACAAATAAAAAAACACCTTGACAGTAGGCCTAAGAAATTTGAATTTTGTCACAAAAAATTTGAAAATGTTCTCTTACTTTGTTTTTTTTTTAAGATGGTGTGGTGGTTTGAAAGAAAATGGCCCTCAAAGGAAGTGGCACTATTAAGAGATGTGGCTTTGTTGGGGTGGGTGTGGCCTTGTTGGAGGAAATGTGTCACTTTGAGGTAGGCTTTCTGTCACTGTGAAGAGGGCTTTAAGGTCTCATATAGCTTAAGCCACAACCATGTCTCAGACCATTTTCTCCTGCCTGTGTGAGATATAGAACTCTCATCTACCTCTCTAGCACCATGTCTGCCTGCATGCTGCCATGTCTTGCCATGATGATAATGGACTGAACCTCTGAAAATGTAAGCTAGCCTAATCAAATGTTTTTCCTTTATAACAATTGCTGTGGTCATGGTATCTTTTCACAACAATAGAAACCCTAACTAAGACAGAAGTTATCTCACTGTATAGCCCAGGCTGGTCTTGAATTCACAATCCACCTGCCTCAGCCTTTAAGGATTATAGACCTACATAGCCATCTGGCTGGTAAATATTTATTAAGCACTTAGTGCAGTGGTTCTCAACCTTCCTAGTGCTGTGACCCTTTAATACAGTTCTTCATGTTGTGGTGACCCCAACTATAAAATTATTTTCATTGCTACTTCATAACTGTAGACGAATTTCTAAACAGTCTTATTAAATAAGAAACACAGAGTCAAATACAGGATAATAGCCCAAGAGATCAGAGAAATAGTGAATAACCATGACTAGCCTTAGCTTACCACCACACAGTAGCTTCCCTAGAGAGAACTTCTTCCTGTCTAACCTGTGCTTTTATTGCCTTTCTGTTCTGCCTTCTCATTGGCTCTAAGCCCAGCTGCATCACTTCCTTGTCACTGCCTGTGTATACAGAGCTCCAGTCTCTATGGTTGGTACTGGAATTAAAGGCGTGTGTCACCACGCTTGGCTGTGTCCTTGGCCACACAGAGACTCTGCCTGTTATGTAATCAGAATAAGTATATTACCACTGTCTGACTTCTGTTTTATGGCTCGCTGTGACCTCTGATCTCCAGGCAAACTTTATTTATTAACATACAAATAAAAATCACATTTCAGCACAAATAAAGTATCACCACACATAACTGTAACTTTGCTGCTTTTATGAATTGTAATGTAAATATCTGATATGCCACCCCTGTGAAAGCATTGTTTGACCCCCAAAAGAGGTTGCTACCCACAGACTAAGAACCACTGAATGTCTATGAGAAGCATGATGGAGAACTAGTTCTCACAGTAATGGAGTTAACTAGCCTGTTGTTCTCACAGAGGCGGGGTTTTGCTTGCATGTCATAGCTCTTCTTTGAGCTGTCCTGTTCAGCTTTGTGTTAAACATCATGATGTCCCACCATTCCTTAATTCCACTTTCTTAATTTATTCTTTATTCTATTTCTGTTTGTAGCTAGCTTGTGCCCATAAAATTATCCTTGTCTCTCCCTTTTAACCATCCAATTATCGAGTATTACCAGATTTTTCTTTGTAATATATTCGTGTGCAGTGTGTGTGTATGGTGTGTGTATATGTGTGTGTACCTTGTGTAGGAGTAGAAGCCAAAGGAGTGTGTTGCACATCCTGCTCTGTCACTCTTCCCTTATTGCTTTGAGCCAGGGCCTCTCACTGAGCCTGGAGCTAGGCTGGCCTCAAGCAAGCCCCACTGAATCTTCCTGTTTCTTTCACTTCATATTGCTGGGTTACAAACACAACCATACCAGGCTTTTTACATTGCTGCTAGGGTTTGAAATCAGGTCCTCTTATTTATGCAACAAGCATTCTTAGCCACTCAGACCTTTCCCCAGCCCCTCTTTGTAAAATGTTTATCACCTGCTTCTAAGCCCAGCCATCTTTTGTCTCTAGGTTTTGACTCTTTACATCTATTCCCCTAGAATGAGTTTCAAACTGGTTCCCTGATCATAGTGATTCCTCTCAGATGCCTTTTTACACAGCTCACCCATCTGTTAGGTCTTGTCCTGTACACTATAATGATCTCTGTCTCTGGCTGGCAGTACTTCCTGCTGATCTGTTGTGGCCAAAAGCAGGGACATTGGATAACTCCAAAGTCCAGACCACTGTTTGAGCTAGTCTTTCCCCATGCTCCCTGCTCCTCCCCAGAGCAGTGTGCTTCCTTTCCTTCTCTCACAGCGCTCTACTGAAGGACAGCGTTTCCTAACAGTTGACAGTGAGATTCAGGACCGATCTGATCTCTAGTTTTACTCCTTTCTAACTGTGTGACTTCAGTCCCTGAACTCCTTTGAGTTTCAGACATCTCACCCAGACATGGAGCTCATGAAGCCTACCGATGGGCTGTTGCAGAGCTTCAGAGAGAGAATGTCTGAAAGGTAATAGTCACATAGTAGGTGCTCAGTGAAGGTGCCCTTGCTGCTGTGGCTGCCGTTTTGCTGGGGTTGAGTTGTCATGCACATGGACCTCTGTGAAAGTGAGGCTTGCTGTTTTCCAGGCTAGAATGTGCCATTTGTTTCTTCAGGATAGAACATTACTGTCTAGTGCCTGAGATCACTAGCTCTCAATTGCAATCTGTGTTCAGTTCCTTACCAGTTGGGCAAATTACTTAATATCTGAAAGCACCTGTGATTTGGGAGTAATAAAGCTGTTTTGTAATGAGGTAAAGTAGGATGATATACAATTAAATGCTACACAGTGTGTTGTCATGAGGAATCAGTAAAATGCAGCCATCATCAAGTGCTGAGTATTTTCCTTGCCTGC